GCATGTGGCTCGCGAGCCGCAGTTTGCCGACCACCGAGTTAGTGCAATCAATACTGCTTTTCCTTATCATCATCTGTATGATATGGGATTCCAAGATACCAGATATCTGCTGACGGGCTTTTAGAAGACTGGTGGAAACAGCGGATACGGGGCTGGGTAATCTCACACCAAAGCCCTCACATTGGAAAACCATTATGAAGCGAGGGGGCTGATTACTTAGGAGCTATTTTGTTTTCTTTTGCTTTTAATGCTCCTTTTACGTCCTGAGCTCCGAAGCCTGAGAGCCGCTGTCCGTCTCTCAGATGAAGCTGTGACACATGCTTCGTGTATCCAGGAGGGGCTCTCAGTAGATGTCTGTTGTGTTGGAATCTTATTCCCAAATTAAAACACCCAGGTTCTCTTGCACACGAACATGTGAACTCACACTCACGCATTAAAGTGGCAAAACAGAAACGACATTGTCCGACGTCGGTAGGAAAACAGACCAGTAGCCACAGGTTTCTCGGGAGCGGCCGCAGCAGCCAGTCTGTGCGGGGACTGGCCAGTGGGCAGAGGGACAGCGCTCCCCGTGGGACGTGGGACGGGGACGAGACCTCGGGTGGGGCGGGCCAGGAGGAGAGAGCGACTGTCTTAGCGTGGAAACACGGCTTTTCCCCACCTCATTGGCTAAAGTGCGCATTTTGTTTCTTGTTTTTCCCCAGTTTATTTGAAGAAGAGATAATGTCTTATGTGCCTCCACATGCCTTACTCCACCCCAGCTACTGTCAGTCCCCGCGCGGCTCCCCTGTGTCCTCTCCCCAGAACTCGCCAGGTGAGTCCACCTGCAGCTCCCGGGTTCTCCGAGGAGCGAGCCCTAAGTCAGAGGTTGTGTTCTACGTCGGGGCCAGTGCAGGGACATTCGGGTGCATCTTAGGGCCAGCCCGGGTGCATGCCACGTGGCACGCTCTGTCCTCTGGAACTGGCTTGTTTCCCAGGGGATTCATGCTGACAGGAAGGTAATGGCATTCCGGAATAGCCAGGTAAAGGCTCGCCGTGCGGCCTAGTCAGAGACAGAACTTACTCTTCATTCGGCGGTGCCCAATATGAATTGGAAAACGTTAGGGCACAGAATACTGTGTTAGCTTTTTGCATTTAAAAGGTTTTAGTTAGGAGGCTGATTCAAGGAATAATAAAAAGAAATCTCTACTTTCGAGAAATAATAGAGAATTGAAGCTGGTCAGCTTCAGGGACTTGGAGAGTTTTCCCTGCAGTAGTCACTGCCTGCGCTGCATGGGACAGTGAAGGACGCATGGGCAGACAGAACGTGTGACCGATGAAACAAACGAACATGTTTAAGTTCAAATTCCTTTTGAAGGAGGTATGTTGTGAATGAAGGAGTGAATGAATAGATGAGCAAATGAATGAATGGTAGAAAATGCAGCTTAGCAAATGAGTGTTTTTTAAAGGTGGGTAGTCATGATGTTGTAAATCAGCTGTATTATCCTCATTATAGGCAATGCATTGTTCACACTTTAACAGCTTTCAGAATTTAAAACTATGTTACTAGGAATCCACACTCCATATGTATTACGAAGAGCTGCTCTGTGTTCGTTGATATATAACATGTGTTTTCACATATTGTTGTGATAATGAAGCTACAGCCGACTCGAATACCTCAAACAGGAAAAGGTTCATTTACCACAGATTTATTGAGCATCATCTATGAGCCAAGCACTGGTGCTACAACGATGAATAACACACTCTCTGCCTTTGAAGGATTCATAGTGGGCCAGTGAGTCAACAAATGACTCTGTAAAGCTCTGTGGTCCGTCCTGTATTGAAGAATGTGTGGGAACACAGATGTGGGAACACGTCTTCCCTTAAGACTAGGGGTGGGGTGTTTAGGGAAAGATGAAGGTACCAGGTATGAAGGGGGGCCCTGAAGAACAATGATAGGAGTTTACCAGGGAGACCAAAGGAAGAAGGGCCTTCATGGCACCGAAGCATGAAAACAGTTTAGGGCAAATGGATAGGGCAACGCGAAGGCAAGTTCCCAGAGCTCAGACTGTAAGATAGACTAGGGCAGTGATGGTGAACCTTTTGAGCTCGGCGTGTCAGCATTTTGAAAAACCCTAACTTAACTCTGGTGCCGTGTCACATAGAGAAATTTTTCGACCTTTGCAAACCATAGTAAAGCAAAGACTTATATTTTTGATATTTATTTTATATATTTAAATGCCATTTAACAAAGAAAACTCAACCAAAAGAATGAGTTAGCGTGTCACCTCTGACACGCATGTCATACGTTCGCCATCACTGGACTAGGGTCTGTGGGTCATTGATGCCTTACCTTGTAGTCCATGTGCAGCCCCTAAAAATGTATAAACAGAGGAACGTCCTGTTTTACAAAGACCAGTTTGGTGGCGATACAGAGGATGGATTAGAAAATGAGAGACTAGAATTAGAGAAACTGTTTGGAAGGCTGTTGTGTTAACCCAGGTGACATGCTAAAGAGCTGGACTGGTGACGATAGAGAAAAGGGAATTAATTCGAAAGACACGTAGGAGGTGGAGATACCAGGACTTTGAGTTCAGGTAAGGAATTCTGAGGTTCCAGCACCCAGATTGCTAGGCAAACGGTAACCCCATTTACCCAGAAAGGGAAAGGATTGGACTGGAGGGGAGTGGAGATGAGTTTGGTTTGGACATGTTTCCTGAGGAATCTTCGGAGATATCCAGGCACAACTGGAAAAGACCGCCATGGAGCTCCGGAGAAGCTGGCTGGGAACACAGGTGTGCAGGTGGCAGCTGGGCCCAGGATGAGGGGAGAAGAATGAGGGAAGACAAGTCTGTGGAAAGAAGGGAAAAGAGGGATGGTCACATGAGAAACCCCAGTGTTTCAGTGATGGGCGGAGAGAGAGAGCGCAGGGGAGAGAGCCAATGGATTTTGGAACAGAATTAGGAAAGTCTTTTCAGGGAAGCCAGGTTTCAAGGAGGAGGGAGCGGTTAACCGGGCCACATCTTCAAAGGAATCATGAAGGATGAGTCTGAGAAGAGGCCGTTAAATTGGAAATTTATGAAATTGGAAATTTATGAAATTGGATATGGCCTTTGCCAGGGCAGTTTCCATGAAACCATCGGTCACAGACTGGAATGTGACCGGTGACAGAATGATAGAGGACGTCAGGTGGAAGCCAGGAGGGTAGACTATTGTTTTCACCAAGTGTGAAAGGAGAGAAAAATAGGACAGTACCTGGAAGGAGAAGCGGCGTTCAGGAGGGGGTTCCGGGGGTGGGGGAGAAGCTGAGCGTCTGTGTGTCAGGCACACAGAGGTCAAACGATGTGGGTGGGAAGAGAGTGGCCCCTTGAATGGGGCGGAGCAGCAGGCGGCACAGCCCAGGCCGGGGGCAGGCAGGACCCTGGGGGCCCAAGCACAGGTCAGCTTGGGAACAGAGCAGGGACACCAGTTTGGACAATACAGGTTGGGAAGACAGAAGTAGGTGACACAACAGGTAAGTTTAAATGTTACATAGACGTTTGAGGCCAACGTCCAGGGGAGAAATTGCTATCATTCACAGCTGGCCTTCGTCTTTGTCAACCGTGTGTGACGTTGGGTGATCCACTCCTCCCTGGCCTTGAATTTCTGTCCTGTAAAATGGGAATAATAGTGGTCGCCTCCCCTGGTTACTCGGAGGAAACCTCGCTGGAGAACACCATCCCAAGCATCCAGTACATATTCGCTTATTCCTTTTTTTTCTTTTTTGGAAATAGGATCCTAAAAAGTAGCATTTGTCTATATTTGAGCCATTAATAACTGCAACATATCAACCCATTTCTTCCTGATGCGCAGGGCCGGCCGCCTAAATAGTTACTCATTCTGACGGGTCTTTATCGTCGCTGGGGCCCAGGGTAACGCTCAGTTGGGTTGTCCCTCTCCGGGTGGTTCATGGGTAAAGAAATGAAGCCGTGCGGGTTGTCGCTGATTCCAGCCAACGTTCTCCTCCCAGGCCTTTGCTGAGGCACCCTCCCCGAGAAAAGGTAGATCTCAGGGTGTCCCTTTGAACCCCCCCGCCCCCAGAGGCGTGGGCCGGGAGACTGGCCAAGCATCTCGAGGCTCGTGTGAACATGCGACGTGATGCCTCTATCGATCACTTCATTTCATCGCCCATCACCATGGCCATGAGGGAGTCCCTGGTGGGAATAGCACGCCTCCTGGAAGCAGGTGTGGGATTACGTTCCAAAGACGAAGAGAACCCAGGCAGACCCCCCTCGCCAGCAGTGCTAGTGGCGGCTTGATTCCCAGGGAGAACCGTCCCCATGCTCTGGCCCCTGGGGTCCAGTGGGTGTGGTTTGTCCCTTCCATCGGCTGCACTGCCCGGTCCGTGGGGTCACTAACTGATGCCACGTGACCCACAGGGGGACTCGCTGGCCGCCTTCCTCCTGTTTCTCCAGGTGAAAGAGCCTCTCCTTCTACCGGTGTTTCCCAAGTTTTCGTGAAAACACTTCCGAGCGGTTCTGAGAGGTTGTCTGGTCCCCCCTTGAGACTAGAACGCCACCCCCTGAGGGTGTGGGGATGATGTTGTGAAAATCACGACGATCATGAATTTTAATGATCTTCTCGGAGCCCTAGGACCCCATCAGCTGTCCATGTTTCCTTATCTGAGCGCGGGACAGTTGGGGGCAGCGGGGAGGGGCTCCGCCAACGGGGACTCGCTGCTCTTTAGCTGTGAGAGCGCCACTGAACACCTGTCCCCATGTTGGAGCGGGAAGCTTGGCTTTCCTGGGACCTTAGACGCCAGTCCCAGCCTTCGCGCCCTCCGCCCCAAGGCAGAGCCCTTCCCAAGCACCGTATGGTTTGTGATGTCCGATCCGGTCCCAGGAGGAGATTTAGGGGCCGTAGGAGGCTGGGCATTTCTAGAAACTTAGATGCAGCAAATCCCCCATTTAATGAATACTGTGGGAGGCGTGCTCACGCCTGTGAACGTTCCCGTCACCTAAGCTCTGAGTGCACGAGGCACTTGGCTGTTTGAGAGACCGTCGCACAGCGCTGGTGGTCCTTGGCCAGACCTGGGCCATCTGGAAGCGACAGCAGCCCAGGTCACAAGCGACCAGAGAGCACTGAGGAGCCACATGGGTCTTTCCCGGAGCTCGTCTTAAGGGCCTGGGGTGGGAGAGGGAATGATTTCTCTGACCCCACAGGGGATTCTCTTGTCCTATCTCTTTCTGAAGTCTTAGCATCTTAGCTGCTGCTCATCTCATCGCCTGTTCTTCCCACAAACATCCTCTCTGTCTCTCTCCCTCCTTTCCTCTCTAATCCCCTCTCCCTTCCCCCATCACCCCACTCTCCCTGGAGTCGCTCTGCACTTGTTCTAGAAATGGGGTTCCACCCCTTCTCTTTACTCTGCCCCCCCAGGTGATCTGGGAACCAGATGGTACAACTGTAGGTGTCCCTGTGGGGGATGGGGACCTGTGGTTCCAGAAACAAGGGGAAGGGAAGCCGAGTATGTCGGTCACAGCTAAGAGGTGGTGGTGGTGGTTGTCGCTCGTCTCCCTGTCCCCCACCCCAGTGCTCTCAGGGGTGCCTGTCACTGGCATGCCCTTTTGCTCTCCCCTTTTAAAATCCACCCTGGTCTGAGAGGCCAGACTATCCAAGGGTTTTTTAAAAAAAACCAAATAGTATGTAAATGAAAGCATGAGCCGGCTCAAAACAATGACCTGAAGGCCCGTTCCTTAGGGAATAAAGCAAAAATGTGAAGACTGCCGTGGCTGTGCTTCTAGCCAGCTAGTCTGGAGGTGTGAGTGTGTGAATGTGTGTGTGTTTGAGTGTGTGTGTGTGTGTGTGTGTGTGTGTGGTTTTCCCTGTAAATTTCCATTGCGGAGCTATGTTCCAGAAGATGGAGTCGCCCAGAAATTACTGCACAGCTTGATAGTCTGTTCTCATTCACTGACAGAATTTTTTGAAAATGTCATAGAGATTTTTTTTTTTAGAAAGTGAACCAGGGTAGGAATGAGCTCTGGGCCATCCCCGTACAGCGGCCTGGGGCCATGTGGGACGAGGCTGAGCTCGCTCCCCATCCAGGGCCGCTAGTCCTCAAGGCAGCCGGGGCTCCTGGGGGCACATCTGGATAATCAGAAGGGACCCAGGCTTCTTAGAAGTTTGATGCAGATATTTTCCTAGTATCACCCCAGGGATTTTTTCAGGTAGAATTCTGGAGTTGCTATGTGATGATGCAGGTTTGTAACAGTACGTAGAAATAGGGCGGCACTAGATGGAGGGACTGTAGGTCTGTCTAGGAATGGTAAAGAAAAAAGAACCCTAATGTCAGTTACTGAAATTTCTTCCTTCAAATAATTGATGTAGCGCTGACTACCCTATGAAGTCAGCCTTCATTGGGTCACTTCCTGAATGTAACAGCGTCCTTTCTGAGTCTGACTTCCCTGTTCAAGTCCGTAAAGTCGCTCTCGGTCGGAGCCTTGGATCCTGGAGCCTTGCGGGGAGCTGTGGCCGCACAGTGCTGCTCACTCCGCTCCCAGAAAGATCATGTTTTATTTCCACAGCGGAAGTACCGGCGCTCCTGCCCTGGAATTTCTTGGCAGTTGCACCTGACGTGCATTAGGAGTCTGACAAGGGCCAGCGGCCTAATTCCCTGTAATTTCTAAGCCGTGAAGTAATGGGTAAATGGTTTTTTCATGATAGAACTATTAGCGGAAGCATTTCTTGCCTTTAACGACGTCTGTCCCCAGAGTCTCCGTAATTGAGTCACGTCAGCTGGAGCATCAGTGGAGTCAGAGCTGTTTTATTGAGGCCCATGTTGGTGCTGATGAGTGCATTATGGGGCTCCCCACATCCTCGTAAGCATCTCAGGTTACAGCAGCAGCATAAGATGGGCTGTGGTGTTTCTGTTTAAGGAATGAACTCCTAAAGAATCACGTTTCTTTTGAGCCTGGACGATTTTCATGGGGTGCTGTGTTCGTCCTTTCCTCTTCCACGATCATGCTCTCGAACACGGATTCATGAGTCTGCTCCGAGCTGTCTGGGTTTACTGGCCGGCTTTTCTCAGCCGGCAGCGCTGACAGCCTCATGCTGCACCCCTGAGTGGACTTGGCACGTGCTGCCCTGTCCCTGGGCATCCAGGAGTGTCGGTCGCTGGATGCGGATGCTGCCCAGGTGTTTTGTGGGTACCATTGCCCTCCCAGGCGGGGAGGGGGTGGCGGATAATGGTCCTCAAGCTTGGAGTTGGTGGAGAGCCCTATAAAACACTGAGCCAGGCCACACCCCCAGGAGTCTGATGTCGTGTCTTGGGTGTGGCCTGGCCAGGGAGGTTTTTAAGCTTCCCAGGTGATCTAATGTGCAGCAGAGCTGTGGGGACCACTGCCAAGGAGTCCCTTCTGCATCCCAGACACTTAGGTCGAGGTTATTGGTTTTCTTTGTGACACAGCTCTTAGCTCTGTGGGTAAGAGTCATAGCTATGCAGACAGACCTCTGGGCATATCAATGATCAATAGCAGTGTGACTGACATCGTTCCTAAGCCCCAGCGCAGGCCCCGGGCCCTCGGTGCCCAGCTCCATGCAGACAGTGGCAGGCACCAGCCTCCCTCCCCACACCCCGCCCACCAGCCTCCCTTCCCATGCTGCTTTGGGTGTCAGACCCACCATTCACTGGCATGTGACTTCCGTTGCCTTAGTTACAGTGGTGATGGTGGGAAGGGTAACAATGCCTGCTCCCTAGACTTGGGAGGACTCCCCAGGATTCTCTATGCAAAGCGCCTGGTCCCTAAGGCAAAGCCGGCACTTAACCAGCGAACGGCAGTGGTATTGTTCTAAAAACTTTATTTTTTAAATGTTTTTATTGTTTTCAGAGAGGAAGGGAGAGGGAGAGAGAGATAGAAACATCAATGATGAGAGAGAATCATCGATTGGCTGCCTCCTGCATGCCCCCCACTGGGGATCGAGCCTGCAACCCGGGCATGTGCCCTGACCTATAATCCAACTATGACCTCCTGGTTCATATAGGTCAATGCTCAACCCCTGAGCCACGCAGGCCGGGCCTAAAAACATTGTATTACCACGGGAGTTTCTGCTTCTCTCCTGCTCAACCCCTGAGCCACGCAGGCCGGGCCTAAAAACGTTGTATTACCACGGGAGTTCCTGCTTCTCTCCTTCCCTGCTGGTACCCGTTCTTATTTCACATGGCACATGGTCCCCTGCGTCCCCACCCTGCAGCCCAGGCTCACCGTGCCTCAGGCCTCCATGCAACTGCTCCTAACTGGCCTCCACCCCATCTTCTCTCCTTGCCACCCTGCCTCCCACTGCTCACTGCATCGGGCCCAGGCTCCTCAGCCGTGTTTTCAATTCCTCTCGTAGTTTGGCTCCAACCTTCCACTGCTTTCCCTCCCCACTCACTCCCCCGCGCTCCCCCTCTGCTCTGTGAGTGGGTCTCCCCGTGTCTGCTGACCATGCTCACAGGGCTTATTGAACTCACGCTGCTGCCCGTAGAGGACAGATCTCTGGGGTAAAGGCCTGGCTCCCTCGTCTTCCCCCTTTGTTCTCTGTCATCCTCATTCACTGTCCTTTTCCCATAACCCTGATCTCAGTGCGCATCCTGGGGCCAGGCAGCCGTGCCAGTGTGTGGCTGTGGCACCGTGGAGCGCACGCTTCCTCTGATGGAGCAGCGGCCCACGTAGCCCCAGGAGAGTGCACGCCAGCGGCTGCAGGAGCTCCCGACATTGTCCGGAGGAAATACAGAATTTTTTACTTGAAATCTCCTCATTTTTAAATGCTGAAAAGTTAATTTAACATCTTTAAAAATGATTTTAATGCAAACAAGATGGATCACTAGGTCTGGGTCCAGCCCCAGGGCAATAGTCCTGTCCTCTGCTTTATAGTTGACACGCCATCGAGGTTAGGGCTTAATCACGTGTTCTCCAATTGTTGGACAGGTTTTATTGCTGACTTCCCAGCCACGGTGCCCACTTCGGGAACCCTGTCTGACTCATTGTGAGCATCCCTTGCTGAATCTAACATGGTATTAGCAATGAATGACCACCACTGAGCTGATTCATTCATCAAAGAAATACTTAATGGGCTTACTCTGGTGCGTAAGGCACAGGACTTCAGCATGTCTGTTTTCTGGTTTCTCTCATTGTGTTGTGAAATCTCTGGTGGAAATTTCCAGTGTTCTTGTCAGGGCCCTGACTCCCATTTTCATCACTGATTCTGTATCCCGGCGTGTTGGTTAGATACCTTCAGACCCAAAGCCAGAGTTTTCTATGGAAAGAGGAACTGTTACTTCTACATTTTATTAATGATACTTGTCATATGATGAGATATTTTTTAAAAAAATCTTTAGGTAATCTGCAGATAATCACAGTACTTGGCACATATTAAGAGAAGCAGGGGCTGTGTGGAGGTGGGCAAAGGTGGGGGGAAACGGGGGACATCTGTAACAGTGTCAACAATAAAAGCAATAAATACGTTCACATTGTTATGCAAAAAAAAGGAATGCAACAAACGGCAGTCTTATTTATTCTGTGCAACCAGGAGACATGCCTTCAGCAGTTATGTCTGAATTCTGTTTTTACATCCAGATTATTCTACCCTGCGACATCAAATGCGTGCAATTATGCGTCTGAAGCAATTCCTAGTTAGGGTGCATACCCGAAAGAAGTTTCGTAGGTTTTCCATGGAGTAAAGGATGGGAACTCACTGCTCTTGCTGTAGACACCGCATACTTTTCACATGATAACTTCCTGTCTAATTGCCATGATATCATCTCAGCAGCCAGCAAAGCTATTCCGCCCTCCAGTCAGCACTGGGCATGAGTAATCCAGCTTGGCTTGCAGCAGCTTGGGCTGAAAGGGGAACATATTTGACGAACACATGGCACCATCATAACTACCCAAACGGCTTCGTTCTTTTCGACCAGCATGCCACCAAGAAACGCAGGGGCTGTGTGGAGGTGGGCAAGGGTGTGGGGGGAAAGGGGACATCTGTAACAGTGTCAACAATAAAAGAAGTCAATACATTCACATGGTTCTGCAAAAGAAAAAGAATGCAACAAGTGGCAGTGTTGTTTGCGTAAGCTCTGTGCAGCCTTTAACCTGGACAGTGGGAAGCTGCAGGAGCTGAACGCGTTGATGGCCCCCTTTCACATGTTCCCTCTGGTCTCAGCTCTGATGATGTGTGTTCATGGTGACATGATGCAAAGCCAACCCTCTCTCTCTGTGGTTTGCTGTAGGTACGCAGCGTGCCAATGCCCGGGCACCAGCCCCTTACAAGCGAGACTTTGAAGCCAAGCTGAGGAACTTTTACAGGAAGTTGGAGACTAAAGGATACGGACAAGGCCCAGGGAAATTAAAGTAAGTCAGAGCGAAACCAGCACAGGGTCTGCTGATGGTGAGAGGATGGGGTGCAACTGGGCATGATTTGGGGCGGACGATCACCTTGGTTTTAGTCGGTGTAATTATTTTGGTGTCTGTACGTGGCAGCACCATACATAACACGGTTCTGGCATTGAGCACATTAAGCTTAAGGTTTTAAAGCAAACAGTAAAGAAACGACCACATTCCATGTAAAAAATGTTAAGGAAAAGTACGAGCTGCCCAGTGGTTGAGCACCGACCTATGAACCAGGAGGTCACGGTTCGATTCCCGGTCAGGGCACAGGCCCGGGGTGCAGGCTTGATCCCCAGTGGGGGGCATGCTGGAGGCAGCCAATCGATGATTCTCTCTCATCATTGATGTTTCTCTCTCTCTCTTCCATTCTGACATCAATAAAACTATATTTAAAAAATGATAATAATAAAATTTTAAAAATGACGAGCTGATTTACTTTTTCTCCTGAAAAGGACCTCTGTTGGCTTAGCGTGGACTCATTGGCTCTGAGGCTGTCACGATGTCCCGCATCGCTCAGCACTGTCTCCTGAGCCGACCCGAGTGCGGGCACCATGCTCAGCATGTCGCTTTGTGAACTAAACTTCACTTGTCCGACGGCGCACCTCGTGAACGTTGTTGCTGCCTGTCTTCCTTCACCTCCATTTAAATGGGGAAATGGAAGCGGCCTCACGATGTGTGGGCAGATTGATGCTTGTTCTCTACGCGCCCCCCCTGCCCGCATCCCCCCTCCAGCCTGCGCCAGGGCCTCACCGAGGTCACGTGCCCCCTGAGAGAGGACACGGGAGGGAGGGTCGCTACTGCAGTCCCACCACATTCCGGATACCCGAGAAAGGGTCCAGGGGGCAGCCCACAGCCCATGGCTCGCCACCCCCCAGGAGGGTTCACTTGGTTAAGTTAGCCGGTCCACTTCCCTCACCTCAGAAAACACCAGCCCGTCCAACACCATGCCTCAGAGCCTTCTCTCCTGATGTTTCTCTTAGGAAGCTCTTGATCTAGCTTTCATCCTTGGCCTCCACATTACCTCCCTTTCCATGGCTATTGTCACTACAGGCAAATTGGTATTTGCTCAGGGATGACTTCAACTGTCATTAGGACAAGTGGGTTCATGGGCCACACGTATCACTTCAACTGTCATTAGGACAAGTGGGTTCATGGGCCACGCGTATCAGTCGTTTGTATCTGTCACTTAGGGAATCTCAAGATTCCCTTAATTTAAAAATTAAGTCAAGCACAGTGGTAAACTCCTCTGCCTGGGAGGACACTGAGAATTTTTTTCCTCTTGTTCTCACGGTCAACTCTCTAGGCTCTTAGTACCTCAATTCCTTGTCTAGGGGCACTCAGGCTCCAACCATGACCTCCTGGGGCTGTTCTTCCTTTACTCAGCACAGGGTTGTGCCTGTGATGTTGCCCATTGTCCTTGGATAGATGGACTCGACCACTCAGAGGGCCTCTCGGTGTTCGCAGGTCATAGGTGGGGTGCCCCGTTTATCAGCGCTCCTCTTACGCAGCAGTTGCTGGCAGAGAGTGATGGCATGAAGTCACTCCTTTTTGCCTCGTTAGTTATGGTAAATGGAAATTAAATGGCAAGCGCCCAGTCCTAGAAAGATAAGGATTAGGCAATAACCTTTTTTATTTTTTTTTTTTCAAATTGTCTCCTTATGGACAGGTTAATCATCAGAAGAGATCACTTACTCGAAGATGCTTTTAATCAGATCATGGCCTACTCCCGAAAAGACCTGCAGAGAAATAAGCTGTACGTCACCTTCGTCGGGGAGGAAGGGTGAGTGGCACAGAGAAGTGGCCCGGGGAGCGCAGGCTGGGCTGCAGGGCGGTGTCTCACCACATCCTCGCTGCGGTCGCCTGAAACAGGAAACCCTTCTGGCAGGAAATGCCGCTCTCATACACTGAAATCTCGTGGCTTTTTTTTTTAAAGGCCTTCTCTGGTTTTTAAATTATTTGGCATAGAAATTCTTTGGTAAAAACTTATAACTCCTGAGCATTTTTGAGAGCAGCATTTGGTTTGGTCTCTTCTCTAATTCTCTCCTAAAGGGACGTGTGGGCTTTGAGGGACTAAACACCAAGGAATTGCTTTTTGTTACCTACCCTGGGTGCCCAGCAGAACGTGCTTCGCCTGGTAAATAAATTCCGTTTCAGCATCACGCATTGGAATTCTGCTCTTCTACCCAGAAGCCTCCGCAGCAGTAACTGTTGGGTCTTGGTTCTTACTGTTCTCTCCTTTGAGAGGGCAGCACACCTACCGAGATGGCTGCCTGCCGTAAGCAAAGGTCTTCAACCTTCCACGACTCTTGCCTGAGTGTGCTCATGTAGATAAGGGTCAGGGAATGAGGAGTGAAGACTCGCACCGTCTTCATTGCATCCGGGTAGACGTAGCAGCTGTTACATAGCACATGAGAGATGACAGCTCTCCTGTCTGCCAGGCCCCTTCCTCTTTCCCCATTTCAGGGCAGGGTTTCGAGTTCCAGCACCTCCAGTGTAACCCAGCCATCGCTACAGTTAAGTAATCAAAACCCCACACCGTTGCCTGAACTCTGGTTGTCTTCTCCTTGATTGTATTGATTTGGATTATTTCCCTCTCAGTCATGCCCAGGAATAAACTGTGTTAGATTATGGAACCATAGGCGTAATAGCCAACAAATTAAACCATCCAGTATATGGTTCATGAAATGGAGGCTCCAATGTATAAAATAACTGCATGTCCCAGTGGAACCAGTTTATAGCAAAATTGAGATTCACAACCAGGTCTTAGTTCTTCATTCAGTCCTCTTGGCCCAACGCTGGGATGCAAGCAAAACTCCTGCACTCTGGTCTGTCTGCATGTGTTTCCTACCCATGGATCTTTCCGCCATTTCAACTACTGCCTGGTAACGTCCGCTCTTCACGTGCGCTGTTGTATAGTCTCCCTGCTGAGACTCGGTGAAAGGAAAACCTTACGTGGGAAAAGAGCATAATGTGACCAAGTCGCACAGAAGCTGCCTGAGACCTGAGCCCTTCATCCCTGACGTGCCCCAGTGGATTTCTCGCGTCTGTTCGTTGGCTTAGAGATGCAGGTGCACAGTTGAAAATGCAGACAAATGTTTTTGGCCTCATCACAGGTATGCATGGGATGCCAGGTATTTCCTGGCAGAGTCAGCCTGGTTTGAATGAGAACACTTCTCCTCCCCCAGAGCGCCAGCTGCCTTCCTTCATGGTTGAGATCTCAGAGATGCAGGGAAGAGTCTTGGGGAGCCCTGGGACTTCAGTGTGAACGGAACAGGTGCTTGTGATGTTTGGTCATCCTCATGCAGCCTCCCTGGGATCCAGACTGATGACATCTGCTCCTGGGAGGAGGCCCAGGCTGAGTGGGCCTGATAACTCTGTGTTTGATCGCCACAAATGTCCAAATGCTTCCTGCTTCTATCGCCTGTCTTCCACCTGTAACCCCAGAGGGAAAATAAGAGGAGACATTGAGGTGTGAATTTCAGTTATCAGAAACAATCTCTTAACTTTGTGATTGCCAGAATGGCACAAACAACAGTGAATGACAGGACATTGTCCCGTGTGGGGACAGGAAGTGTAGAAGGATATATGGGAAGTAGGGACTTCCAAAGAGGCAACAATATACCATTTGCATGGCCAGAGATGCAAAAGACCCGTAATCAGAAAATCATAAGACACTGAAGAAAGATAATTGAAGAAGATACAAATAAGTGGAAGCATATACCATGTTCAGGGGTAGGAAGAATTAACATAATTAAATGTCCATATTACCCAAAGCAATCTATAGATTCAACGCAATTCCTGTGAAGATACCAATGGTATATTTCACGGACCTAGAATATTCCAAAAATTAATATGGAACCACAAAAGACCTGAATAGCCATAGCAATCTTCAGAAAGAACAAAGTTGGAGTAAATCATGCTATGATATCAAACTCTACTACAAGGCCATAATAATCAAAATAGCCTGGTACTGGCATAAACATAGACATATACGTCAATAGAACAGAATAGAGAGTCCAGAAGTAAACCCACGCCTTTATGGCCAATTATTTATTAACAAAGGAGGCAAAAACATACAATGAGGTAAAGATAGTCTATTCAATAAATGGTGTTGGGAAAATTGGATAGATACGTGCAAAACAATGAAACTAGACCATCTTCTTACACCATATATAAGAACAAACTCAAAACGGATTAAAGACTTAAATGTAAGATTTGAAACCATAAAAACCATAAAAGAACACATAGGCAGTAAGATTATTGGACATTTTTCTTAGCAATATTTTTTTTCTGATATATCTCCTGCAACAAGAGAAACAAAAGAAAAAATAAACAAGTGTGACCACATCACACTAAAAAGCTTTTGTACAGTGAAGGAAACCATCAACAAAATAAAAAACAACCCTACTGAATGAGAGAACACATTCACCAATGATACATCTGATAAGGGGTTAATATCCAAAATTTATAAAGAACTTATATGACTGAAGACCCAAAAAACAAGCAATCCTATTAAAAAAAAATGGGCAAATGACCTGAATAGAGACTTCTCCAAAGAGGACATACAGGTGGCCAGTAGACATATGAAAAGATGCTCAACATCACTAATCATCAGAGAAATGCAAATTAAAACCACAATGAGATGTCACTTCACACCTGTCAGGATGGCTGTCATCAATAAATCAACAAACAAGTGCTGGCGAGGATGTGGAGAAAAGGGAACCCTAGTGCACTGCTGCTGGGAATGCAGACTGGTGCAGCCACTGTGGAAGACAACATGGAGGATCCTCAAAAAATAAAAAATGGAACTGCCTTATGATCCAGTGATTCCACTTCAGGGAATATATCTCAAGAAACCTGAAACACTGAATTGAAAGAATATATGCACCCCTATGGTCATTGCAGCATTATTTACAATAGCCAAGATCTGGAAGCAGCCCAAGTGCCCATCAGCAGATGAGTGGATAAAAAAGCTGTGGTGCATTTACACATGGAATACTACTCGGCCGTAAAAAAAAGAAGAAAGTCTTACCTTTTGTGACAGCATGGATGGACCTGTAGAGTATTATGCTAAGAGAAATAAGCCATTCGGGGAAAGACAAATACCATATGATTTCGTTTATATGTGGGCTCTAATGAACAAATTAAACTAATGAGAAAGACAAATACCATATGATTTCATTTATATGTGGGCCCTAATGAACAAATTAAACTAACGAACATAATAGAAACAGACTCATAGATACAGAGAACAGACTGGCAGCTGGCAGATGGGAGGGAGGTTGGGGGGCTGAGTGAAAAGGGTAAAGGCATTAAGCAAAAAACAAACAAACATACACACACAACATAGCACCTCACAGACACAGACAACACAGTGGTGATTACCAGAGGGAAAGGGTGGTGGGAGGGGATAGAGGAGGTAAACGGTGCAAGAGGGGACTAGACTTTGGGTGGTGAACACACAATACTATATATATATGGTGTCCCCTCAAAATGTGTACATACACTGAATAATAATAAAGGCAGTGTTTATTAAAATACATTTCATTTTCAAAATT